ACTGCTCTTCCAGGGGCAGAGGATCTGGAATTTCTGTAAGTTGCCAATTAAAGGGGCTGGATATCTCAGTGGAACACTTCAAAGGGACTTAGGGAGAGGGGTGCATCTATTGTTAGCCTGCAAGGTGAAAACAGGGCTGGCCTCGCCTAGAGGAGAATATCCGAGCAAGAGCCTGAGAGGCTGGTAGTGTTAAGGAGCTGACACCCAACCAGGCATAGGCAAGACTCCCTCATGATGGACGCAGGGGGTAATGACGTGATTCACAGTCCTGGGTACCCCAAGAATCATCTTGATTTTTTAGTACAGCTTTTGATATCTCACATCTACTGGTTCCTTCCCTGAAAATCCAGTAGGACAGTATTCCTGTCAAAGAAGGAAATTAGTTTGGTTTGACATGATTTGTTTTTGCAAATCCATACTGGATATTCCTTATAACCCTATTTCCTCTAGGTGCTTACAAACTGATTGTTTAATAATCTGTTCCACTATCTTTCCAGGTATTGAAGTTAAGCTGACCGGACTACTGTTCCCTGGGTTTTCTTTGTTCCCTTTTTTAACTATAGGTACTGTGTTTGCCTTTTTCCAGTCCTTTGAGACCTTACCCAACTTCAATGAGTTCTCAAAAATAACTGCTAACAGTTGCGAGATTGCTTCAGTTAGTTCTTCAAGTACCCTAGAATGAATTTCATCAGGTCCTGCTGAAGTGCATACATCTAAATATTCTTTAAACCTGTTTTCCCTATTTCGGCTTGCATTCCTTCCCCCTTGTTATTACTATTAATTGAGTTGAGTATCTAGTCACCATTAACCTTTCTAGTGAACCTGAAACAAAATAGGCATTAAACACCACAGCCTTCTTCAGGTCACCAGTTATTAGCTCTCCTTCCCTGCTAAGTAGAGGACCTATACTTTCCTTTGTCTGTCTCTTGTTCTTAATGTATTTAAAGAGCCTCTTATTACCGTTTATGGTCCCTGATACATTTAACTCATTTTATGCCTTAGTCTTTCTGATTTTGCCCCTACATGCTATTCTTTTGTACTCCTTAGCAATTTGTCCAAGTTTGCTCCATAATAGCAATGTATCATACTGTATGACAGCACTGCTACCTGTAAAGGCTAAAAGATTTATATATCAAGGCTGTGGGATCAGTAATATTTTACTGTATTTCTCTTGGGTGTTCTGAGCTTTGCTTTAGAGACTTGAAAATTAGGTTTTATTTGGTACTGGGTTTGCATGCAAAGGTGCTTAGCTTAGCTTTAAAAGTTGCCTATTTGCCCTATGTTGGTAATTTTGTTGTAATAAATCTATATGTATTGTTAAAAATACAGGAACTAATCAAAACAAATGCTCCAAAAATAGACATTTTATCTTTCAAAAAAATCCAAGTGATTCAACCCCCGGTTGGAAGTTACCTCCTCACCCCAGAATCTGAAGTGGCACCCCTGTGGGAAATGGGACGATATTTTAATAAAGTTACATAACTACATAAACGATGCCTACAACCTGAGATATACAGCATGAATAAACCTACACTTTTTATTTTGACCCAAACCCTGTATTTTTGGCATAAGCATTCCTAGGTTGGTGTTGGGACCCACACCAGGCTGAGATCATGCATATGGCCCACAGGAGCACTGCATCCTGGGCAGCTTCTGTTTTCCTTGCTGTGCCTTCCCTGGCAAAACAGTATATGCTGCTACCTGGTAAGCAATAGGAACAAGACCCACTGATCCATATTAACATGTGGAATTGGGACAACATTGGTGTGTAGCATCTATTTTGCCAAATATGTCAAACAACTCACTTGGAGTACTGTGTGCAGTTCTGGTCTCCTATGTTTAAAAGGGATGAACTGAAACTGGAACGGGTACAGAGAAGGGCAACTAGGATGATCCGAGGAATGGAAAACCTTTCCTATGAAAGGAGACTCGAGGAGCTTGGTTTGTTTAGCCTAACCAAAAGAAGGCTGAGGGGGGATATGATTGCTCTCTTTAAATATATCAAAGGGATAAATACCAGGGAGGGAGAGGAATTATTTCAGCTCAGTGCTAATGTGGACACGAGAACGAATGGATATAAACTGGCCGTGGGGAAATTTAGGCTTGAAATTAGACGAAGGTTTCTAACCGTCAGAGGGGTGAAATTTTGGAACAGCCTTCCGAGGGAAACGGTGGGGGCGAAAGACCTCTCTGGCTTCAAGATTAGGCTAGATAAGTTTATGGAGGGAATGGTTTGATTGGATTACGTGATTCTAATCAATTAGGCAATAACGGCCATCGCTGGTAAAATGAGGGTCTGGCTAGAGAATCTTGCCTGTATGCTCGGGGTTCTGCTGATCGCCATATTTGGGGTCGGGAAGGAATTTTCCTCCAGGGTAGATTGGCAGTGGCCCTGGAGGTTTTTCGCCTTCCTCCGCAGCATAGGGCAGGGGTCGCAAGCTGGAAGATTCTCTGCGACTTGAAGTCTTTAGATCACAATCTGGAGACTTCAACAGCAGAGTTAAGGGAAAGTGGGGGGGTCAGCTTTTGTGGCCTGCATCATGCGGGGGGTCAGACTAGATGACCATATTGGTCCCTTCTGACCTTAAAGTCTATGAGTCTATGATTAAGGCACTTATAACTTGTTGTCATCCCACTAAGAGCCTACAAAACTGTCAGACACATGAAAAGAATTCAACTACTGCTGACCTTAAGGAAGAGGAAAGCTGGAAGAGTGAAGGAATGGAGCTTAAATATCCAATTAGTGCAGAGATTTCCATCCGCTCCCAAAAGATGGAGCAAGGAATATGACCGTTGACAGTGTAGGCAAGGGAAGAGTTAAGAGATTTGAGATCACGTTTGGTTACAAAGAGACAGGTCTAAAAGACCTCAAGATTCAGAGGTAAGATAGCTCAAGCAAAAAGCTATCTTAAAGCTTCCTACCGTCTGAGAGAGTCTGGCTATATTAGTCTTCTTGTCACTCCTCTCTGTTTTAGTCACAACAAACAGAAATCTTACTATCTTGTTACAACAAGTATCCCACTTCACTAGGGCCACTAGAAGTCAGAAATCATTTGCATCATCTGGAAGTAAATACTGTGGGCTTGGCAACTGTTACAAACCTCACATCAACTTTGGTCTCTGCCTTTGGAGCTTAAGTCTTTAGGAGAACTGCATGAGCAGAGAAGTGGTGATGGCTCACAAAAGAAAACAGAGGTAAAAAAAGTTTTGCTGGAACAAAGCAAAAGACATTTACAATCAACAAAAGTAATGAACACATGAGTTGGGTAATTTCCTTTGTATAAGGTTCTGCTCCACTCCCAAAATGAGATGTTCAGGTGACTGTATGGCTCCCTCAGGAAAGCCTTTTTTTTTTTTTTTAAACTACACCTCTACCCCAATAGAATGCGACCCGATATAACACGAATTGGGATATAACACGGTAAAGCAGCAGGGAGCCCCGGGCCCTTTAAAGCGCCACCCAAGCCCTGCTGCTTTACCGCATTATATCCGAACTCGTGTTGAGCCTCGGGCCCTTTAAATCGGGCTCTGGCAGTGATTTAAAGGGCCAGAGGCCCTGGCTGCTGCGGGGGGCCCCGGGCCCTTTAAATCCCCACCCAAGCCTCGCTGCCAGAGCTCTGGCAGGGATTTAAAGGGCCCAGGGCTCCCCACAGCAGCTGGAGCACCGGGCCCTTTAAATCACCGCCGGGGAAGCCGGTCCAGTCCGGCACAGCATACCGGCTCTTGCTGGTACGCCATACCGGACCGAACCCAATATAACGCAGTCTCACCTATAAGGTGGTGAGATTTTTTGGCTCCCGAGGACCGCGTTATATCGGGGTAAAGGTGCATATTCAGTTCCCTAGAACATCAATCCTATTCACACTGAGGTTGGTAAGATACAAAATGATAATTTGGAAACTCCAAATTCCACAAGCATTCCCCCAGTATGTTCAAAAAAACATAGTGGAACAATTTTTAGGGGAAGTTTTCAAAGGAGATTCAACTATCGAAAATAAGTGGCCTTTTTGGGGTGAGCTGAAGGATGAAGACATCCCAAGTGAATAGACATTCTTTTGGGAAAATGCAGGTAATCGCAAAGTTTGTCTAACTGTAAAATTTGCTAAAGGGATTCTTTCAGCAAGGGAAAAAACCTAAGGGTAAAAGCTCCAGTGATCCCAAAATAATTTTCTAGTAATGCCAAATTTTTACATGTGATCTGCCCTAGAAACGTGCAAGTCTTCAGAGATCCAGACTATTAATATATCAAATCGTGAAAGAATTCCAGATTATGTTTACAAAGACAACTCCTCCTCGAAACAGTAGGTATGTCCTGTTTAGTCTTGCATCGCAATGGTGTGGTGGCCTTATTAGTCTGTACCACCAGGAATGGTGAAGTCCTTGTAAGATGTCACTAAAAGAAGTCTGTAGGCTGGGATTTTGGAGTTTAACTCTCTTAGGCTTGTTAGAAAACCCCAGCCTTCAAAATTCCACTATAAGTCCCATTACTATAAAAATTCTTCACTCTCAGATGTTTTGTATAAAGTTACAGCTCTTCTCTGTTATACACTGTTTTGTTTTCTGCCTCTCCACTAAGCAATAGCACTAAGATTTGAAACAAAAATGATAGCTCTAAGATCCCAAAAAGGGGAAAGAAAAAAAAGTTACTCAGTGGATAAGAGTATTCCTCTGGAGTTAAAAAAAAAAAAAAAATACAGTTCCAGATGTATTCATTGTATTTCACTATATTGTGTACTTGCTCATATTTGCAAAGAACAAAGGATACAAACACTTAAGAAGTAGCTGTATACTGTCAACTGCAGGGCTTTGGAGCGGAGCCCGGAGCTGGAGCGCGGAGCAGCTCCGGAGCAGTGGAGCTTCAGGTTTTTGCCTGGAGCTGGAGCGGAGTCGGAGCACAGCTCCAAAGCCCTGGTCAACAGGGCTTTAAAAATAGTTTATATGGCAGAAAAATATCCAGAGGGCAAAGGGGACCAAAAGGAAACAGACTTCATACTATTTACCTTGATGAGTCATAGTGACAGGTTCCTCACTGGATATATTGTTGTAAATGACCACAGCTGTGGCATTATGTGAAGCTGCTCGCAATATTTTCTCTCTAAATGTACAGTTTCCTCGTTGCAGCAAGGCAATCCACTGCTTGGTATTCGGAGGAACATGGAAACGTGTTCGAGGATCACAGCCCAGACGATCCACCACTAAAAAAGGAGAAATTTATACATCAGGGATTTGTTCAAACTGGCAAAAAGGTTAGAAGGAAAACAAAGAAACATTTGCCAAAGATTTCAGTTGTCTTATACTTGATAGTTATTACTCTCTGGCAACCAAAGCCTAAAACAAGTTGCATGCTTAAAGAGAAAGTCCCCTTCAAAAAATATTTTTAAAACCTCATACTCATTAGGAGCTGTGAATACATATGCCTGAGAATTAATTTAGTGACCACAAAGATATTTAACTCCACAATGAAATAATATTTGAATCAATACTTGCTCAGGGGGAAAGACAACATTAAAATATGGTTTGTGTGCCATAGGCGTTACCAAGCATCTGTTTCTCAGCCACACAGGGTTTTCTCCCTTTTAATGCAGTTATAAATATCATTCCAGTGTGAAGTATGGCTAAACAAAGGAGGATGTGAAAACAAGCTTTTAAACTAGTTCGGTCAAGTACAGACTAGTGCTAATAATTGTCACTGGTCTATCTTAAGAATATTTTGGTGCAACTAATTAACTTAACAGGTTTCTACTACAGTATTAATATACTGTCAGAATAAAAAAAATATCAGTTATACTTCTTAATTTCAACACCCAGGGCTGGCGCTTCCATTTAGGCAACCTAGGCGGTCGCCTAGGGCACCAGGATTTGGGGGGGCGGCATTTTGCCGCCCTCGGTGGCGGGGGGTCCTTCCGCGCTCCGGGTCTTCGGCGGCAATTCTGCGGTGGGTCCTTCACTCGCTCCGGGACCCACCGCCGCCGAAGTGCCCCGAAGACCGGGAGCGCGGAAGAACCCCCCCACCGCAGAATTGCCGACGACGACCGAGAGCGCGGAAGGACCCCCGCCTAGGGCGCCAAAAACCCTGGCGCCGCTCCTGTCAACACCTCTGTCAAGAGCCTTCCTGTAGTACCCCTCACCCATCCTATAGTGAAAGTGCAAGTGTCATACAATTTCTCCTGGGACACTGAGAAACCAACCCACCAAACAAAAGGGACAAAAATCAAGGTACAATACATCACTTGTGGTACAACAGCTGACACCAATGAAAAATGGTTCTGTTTGCAAGTGGCTGGAAACTTACTGCTTAGACAGAGAACCTAATGCTTGCCTCATTCAAGAAATTGTAGCATTATTAAATAGTAACTTACAAGAGAGCAAAGTGGTAACATCTATAGTATTTAAAAAAGAGTCAATGTTACGCCCTTCAACTGCCAAAAAGTAAAAATATCACTAGCTACCAATAAGGTTAAAACCAATAGTAGTTTTGTGTAAACACAGTAAGGCTTCTGAAAGCTTTTCAGATAACACTTTATAAAAAAAATTTAAGTTAAGTATGCTATAACTTTGTACCCTTTAAAAAAGTAATAAAATGTGCTTCTCCATGGCAACCTGCACTTTCTGGACAAGTCTATTTGTGACATTTACTACAACACCATCCAGCCTACTACATGTAACAAAGAATCCAAACAGAAGGCCTTTGTAAGCATTGTCCGGCTATGCTGGAAGGACAGCAGACACTGGATATGCTTTAATTACGCTGAAACTTTATTTCTACATGACTAGGAGAATCTGGCAGATAAAATTGTTCAGTGCAGGTAATTCCATACTCATCTACATATACCCAGGGGGCTGCTGGCAGCCCTCCTCCTTACCCATCCTGGGCCCAGCCAACTCACTACTGGGACTTCATTATCCCCTCAAATGAGGGTTAAGAAGGGGGGCTGACTCCCTGCCATGCCAGTCATAAGAGCCCCAACCCCCCCCCCCCCCACACACACACACACTTCCACTCCTTTAAAGAATACCTCCTTTAAATCCTCTCTCAATCCATTTTATCTGATCACCATATCCATTCCCTATGAAGTACCTGTACTGGACATCCGCCCAAGCTTACACAATCACAGCCTAACTCCTGTCCTTCTTGTTCTTTGTCCCCCATTAAGCCCTCAACCTGCTATGGGGAAGGCAAACAAATCCACCTTGTCTTGGCCAATCTGGTGGTAAGGGAAAAGATCCTTCCTAGCCCCCCAAGAAAGGGGAGACTAGCATAATGCTCACAGCTGATCATGATGAAACCTGGCATTTCAACTACTTCCATGGGTGGGAAAGTGGGTGCTGCTTAGCCTGGTCCAGGTGAAAAGAGGGCTTTTACTGCGTAGACGTGGGCATAAACAGTTCCCTTCTCTTCTGGTCATCTAGCGTCCCCACACTGACCTGGTATGAAGCTGTCTCCACACAGCAGGTAACTCTCTAGCTGCCATTAAAGGGGCAACACAACCTTCAACAAGCCAGCCAAAGGTCCCCGTTGTTTAACATGCAGTGAGGTGACTCTCTCCAAGAGCAGGAGAATGTGACAAATGGGGCTTTCAAATGGTTAAAAGATCTCTTCTGAAATTTTAAAGATTACCATCCATCCTCATTTCATTTGGGTGGATGAACCTGTATTAGGGACATCTTTACAAAAAATTGTTTGATCACTTGCCTGGGACAAGTAATTTGACAGGAAATTAAGTTTTTCCATCAACATTGTAAGAATTAGTTAAGTAAGTTATATACATCTTCATGGTGGTTCTGCAAGGTTAGATTAGAATACTTCAGGAATTGTTATAAAAGCTCCTTAGCAGAATTCTTAAATCTGAATTTTATTTCTTTTCTGAACTCTGTATGTAACAAAACTCTGAAATCTAGAAGTTTGAAACTGGAATCTCTTGCTTTAAAATCAGGTGTTTTATTCCATTACATTGACACATAGCCCCTCTATTTTAAGATTTATGGTAACCATTAATCACTGACACTGAGCCTCAAAAAAGTATTTTAGGAGCACTGATACTGTATCAAGTTACTGATAACCATAAGAGTACTTTGTGTATTTCGTGTGTTTTTATTTAAAAGTACAATAAACCGGTTACAAAAGCGAAAGTAGCACATGTATTTGTTTTAAAAATCCCACAAATTACATTGCACTCTGCAAAAGGGACAAAAAAGTATGTCAAGCTTTGGACATACCAACCTTGACTATCTCCATTTAGATAAAGCTGTTTGCTATTTAATAAATACTTCCCACTTGTTCAGAGCAATAGTCTAAGAACTGGAAAAAAACAGAATATCATGAGCAGGGCAATAAAACATTCAAATTCCCAGGGCCAAAGGCATATATATTTTTTCTTCAGCAAAATCAGATTCCAATAACTGTGGCATAGCATACACACATGCAAAGATGAAGCTCAATGTAAAACCAGAATTTCACACAAACTCCTTGGCTTAACAATGAGAACTCACAGGATATTTTTACTATCTCTAATTTCCTATTTTTAACTTAACTACTGCAGCTCAAAGCAGAAGCTATATCCAATATTATTAAGTTTGCATTTTCTTTTAAAAGTAAATGCATGCAAATTTTATCCTGGGATAATAGTTTAATCAGATTATGAGATTACTTTTTTCATTACAATCATTATCAAGGCTAAGAAGTATTGGGAGCAAAAATGGGCAATACGCAAGAGGCAAGACAAAGTAATTATGATAGGAAACAAAGACATCAGAAGATTAACATTAAATAGGTGGGGTAAGAAAGTTTGACAATTGCTCCATTTTTAATACATCCCATTGTAACTAAATACTGTAGTATCTAGGATGTTAAGATCACCCAGTGCTGCCAGGCCCACTGAAACTAGAATGGAAGCCTAAAAGTTTTCTTACTACAATAAGGGTATGCCTATACCCAGCCGCTAGTTCGGCGGCTGGCAATCGAACTTCTGGGTAAAACTTATCGCGTCTTGTCTGGACGCGATAAGTCGAACCCGGAAGTGCTCGCCGTTGACTGCGGTACTCCTGCTCGGCGAGAGGAGTACCGCGGAGTCGACGGGGGAGCCTGCCTGCCGCGTGTGGACCGAGGTAAGTTCGAACTAAGGTACTTTGAACTTCAGCTATGTTATTCACATAGCTGAAGTTGCGTACCTTAGTTCGATTTGGGGGGTTAGTGTAGACCAAGCCTATGTTTCATAGTTAGACCCTCATTCCAGAATTTTGAAACTGAGAAAATTGTAGCCATACATCTTTTACATTAAGTCAAATCACTATCCCTTCACACATCACTCAAATTTAGCAAAAAAGGTATTATAAACCTTAAACTATTTTATAACGGAATAGAACTAGTACCTACAGCAATAGAAAATACTATTTGTTGTTAGTTACCACTTCAGGGCTAGTTTTATCTTTTGTTGTTTTATTTTTTGTTTTTTGTTAAGAAAAAAAAGTCTCAAAACCATTTGATTTGTATGTCGCTTTATTAATGGTTTGATGGGATCACTGTATTTTGTTATTCCCCCAGTAATTATAGAACATTCAGAAAGGAAATTCAGCCACCATATGAGCAACTTAGCTTTGCGGTGCCCCCGGCAATTGCCCTGCTTGCTACCCTTAGTGCCGGCCCTAGCTTTCATATGCAGAAAACCAGTTGTTGTGGCACAGGTGGGCCGTGGAGTTTTTATAGCATGTTGGGGGGGGGGGGGGAGGGGGTTCAGAAGGGAAAAGGTTGAGAACCCCTGGTTTAAATGAATTATCACTCAAAGTTGTGTATTAATATGCCTAGTAAGGAATCTATTGGTCAAAAACTATTTCCTGAATCTGTGTTGTCTTTATTGTTACAAACTCGCTGACAGGTATTTTAAAATACGCATAATTTATAATTTTTTGGTGCATAATTCCCCCAGGAGTAACTCATGCAGGATACTGGAGCTATGTAAAAGAGAAAGAAAAGGATCGCTCTCACAAACTAGAAGTTTCTGACTAAGCTTTATGAAGAGAGGAACTACTGGGACTTGTTTGAGAGAAAAATATTCCCCCAAAATTTTAGTTTTGTTTTAAAGTACTACATTGAAAGAATTAGAATGACTGTAACTCATATTAAGTGATAAGGTTATCTTTGTTAAACTTCCTAAAGAGCAAAAGGAAACATGGAGTATGCAGTAATGTTTGGTCTCAA